TTTTTTTAAATGTTCGTTGAAGTTCAAGGATGGGTTTTACGAAGAGAAAAATTCGAATAATTGACAGGACGAAGTCTGTCGGGTCCGCTAGTTTATTATAAATACCCTATATTTGCACACATTTATCCCAAAATACATTTATTACACTTTTAGTAGCGTTGAGGTCTGAACCAGATTCCCATAGACCGTGATATTTCATTACCATTTTTTTAATTAAAATGTTTTGTAGTTTCATATTTTTATCCCAAAATACTCACATTTTTTTAGATTCTTATGCACTTTTTCATTTTTACGAGGTCTAATAAATATGTGGGCCATATTATTTACATCCCAAAACACTCACGCATTGAGGTTCGTTGAGGTCTGATCATTAAGGTGACCATACGTAACTTTTGTTCACCGGATATGTCCTCTTTTTGATGTGAGAAAAACCTTCCGAGTGGAATTTGCAAGAAAGGACGAAATGTACTTTTTTATGGGAAGGGGCATTACTTTTAAATGCAAACTATTCGTATGATGTGCCAAGAATGCTGTGCTATTTCAACTTGTTCGGCACTTCGACGTCATAACAAATAAATGACATTTAACTTCAACTACCTCAAAAATCCATAGATCAACTGTACTCCTTGAAGTATCTTTTAGTCCATAGAATGCGACATTGCTAGCATTAACTGCTACTGTGATGCTGGGGTAGATTATGTGCTCAGTCGTATTAATACTGTTCTGCTAGCGTATACTGCATACATTTCGCGCAAAGTAAAACAAAGTTCTAATTGTTGAGAGAGATTTCATCATCCACCAAATTCTTCTGGTATATAAGTGGAAAAGACTAGAAAAGACCCTACTGATAATGAAATAAACCCATTGTGTGATTGTGAATGTGATGACAATGACTTCAGTATTTATTTTGTCAGTAGTAGGTATTTTGTCTTGAAGAAAAATAAATTATTGCGTTATAACATTTTTATGAAGATAAAAAAATTAAAAATATTACACATTTAAGACCTAAATTAGCTGGGTATCTTAATAATGTTAATGATACTGCATTTGGTTTAAGATCTAAGACCAATACAAATATATTGGTGATATAAGAGTGAAAGTTGATAACGATATTATTTTACAAGCAAAAAATATCAAGGTACTAACAAAGGTATTAATATATCCATCATTATCAAATATTCAATATACACATGAAGATTTGGAAAATTATAAAGAAATTGCAATTAATACACATCTCTTGTTTAAAAATTATAATCCAAATACTAATCACAGTTCGATCACAAATGTTGGAGAAAAATGGAATAAAATATTTAAAGAAATATAGACCGAACAAAAATCTTAGAACAAAATCAGTTACATCAACAAAACTGTAATGGGGGTTATTAACAATATTTTGAAAAACCCTTTGAACAATTTTGGATGAATGATGTTCTGTATCTCATAGACCATTAGTGATACATGGTGAAAATAAAGCTGGAATTGATAATTTTTGTAATGAAAAAGCAAGTATCAGACAGATGTTAAAAGGTAATTTTCAAGATTTTATTATTCATAATGTTAGTTTAAATACATTAATGTTATTTTAACATCCAAACAAAGTAAAGATAAAAATATGAAGAAAGGTTCCAATGTATCTCTCAATTTAACTTGTCCATAAATAAAAAAAATTCAATCATGAAAATATGGTGGACTTATTAATGCATTATTATCTGTATTAACACCATTATTAATAAGTGGTGCAAAAGCTTTGTGTCATGGTGTTCAACAAATAAAAAAAGCTGAATTAGAAGAAATGAAATGACATAATTTAGAAAGGAAAAAACGGGAACAGAGCTTAAAAAAAGAAAATGAATCCATTTCTATATTAGCGATATTAATGGATCAATATGCGTATCCATGAATAATTATAATATAATACAGTGCGTTGTATGTTTTAAATTCTATATTTTCTAGCAATATGTATTATTGATGAGCGCCCAAAATGTTACATAAAACCAAATGTGGTGTTGTGAAAATGGATAAATCTAAAAATAATGGAACCCATTGGATATGTTACTTCAAAAATAATATACATAAATTTATTTTTGATTCATTTGGTAGGTATCCCCATCACATATTGAATGTCAACAATTATATCATAATGCTGAGAGAATTCAAATTTTAATTAATTTATTTGTGGTTAGTTGTGCATATTTGTGGTTAAAATGATGTATATGAAATATTCATAGTTGGAAATTTCGAATATAACAAATGCCACACGATATATGGATAATTCCCGGTCAATTCGCATAAATTTAAGGAAAATTTTACCTTGATAACTCAGATGTTAATTTTTTTAAGTGAAGAGTATTAGCAAAAATATGAAACACATGCTCTTCATTTTTCACAAAATATTATTTTTGGAGATTACATTAATCTTCTAAATTTTCTAAAAATGCTCATCCCTCAAGCACGTGCCAATCATCAGCAGACGATTACCATCAATATACTTTCACAGAGCAATTAATAGAAGTATCTCTTCACACCTTACTATGTGCCGTGTACATACATGTTACCTTCATAGTCGATTAACTTCAAGTTAAAAAGTGTCAAAGGAACTCAATTTAGTATTAAAAGGACGGAATATTTACACGAATAAAAGTATGTGATATAGTTAATTACGATGATATTTCGTTTACTTCACTTTACCGAGAATATTGTTAATTCACCTTTTCATGTGTATTTTTTGTACAGTATTCTGTTTCTTTATTGTATCATTGTTGCAATAGTCCTCATTCTAAGTGTTGTTTAGCGTTGCTAAAATACAAAGATAATGTTCTTCATACTATCATTTGCCCAGTAACATTACTTCCTGGGTAATTCAATAGGATCCTGTCAAGATTCAAGGCTGGTTTTTATCAAGAATATTATAGTTGTCCCCTCCCTATGTCACATCGCCCCTTTTCATAAGACGTTGCGAAGCGAAGAAATGCCATTTAGCACTTTCATTGAAGGCATCTTTATGGAAGCGAAAATTGTTGTGTAATGCTGGGTACTGACCCCATCCGAAATATATGCCGGTTAACAGAAGACGAACCTACTCGGTCTGTTTCTTTAGTACTCGTATCAAGTGATACGTTAGGGTGACCAGGACCCGCGGGGTACGTTTATTCATCATTGACACTGCCCACATGCACTATATTTGCGGCATTAATTGGTAGGAGGACGATTCTCACTTTCTTGAAAAAACTTCACTTGTCACGAGAAGGGATTTTGAAAACCAGATGTTCCAATACACAAAGCTTTTTTGGCGGCAACCAAATTTTCAACATCCCAAGAATGCTGATTGTAACAATCTAAACGTACACTACGTCTGCAATTAAAGTTTTTCATATTAAGAAAAAGCTAATAACAAGACACATTTTGTGCAGATTCGTCTGTTTACCCAACAGCCCGGTATATCTGAGAAAGAAGACTGCTCTGGTTCAGGCAGACCCGAGCAGTGTCAGTTGTTTAGAAATAAACTTAAGAGGCGCATTTCGTCAGAAGACTTCCATTTGAGACCATATGTGTGTTTCTGCGATTCATAGTCTGACATAGGTTTCACGGTTGCACTGTATGTTTGGTCGTCACGACCCGACGTGTCATCTGACGCTCCGTAGTTCGAGCAGCGAGTCCGGCGGGCAGCGAGCTGCCGGTGAACAAACTATGTTTTTATGTTATTTATGTGCATCCCACTTTGAAATTTGGAAAATATATACAACATTAGCGTAGAAATGATTATTTTCACAATTAATTCAAGTGTCGATCTAAAGAAAACAATTGCATCTTAAAAATTAAAATATATTTTAAATATTTAAATAAAATGTCTACAAAATTAATTTTACATCATATGAAAGTACATTTTTAAGTTAACTTTAAGTGTAATTTTATTTTCCTGAAGGAAATGTATTTGTGCGAAAAAGTAAACAGTAGCGCGGGCATGATTTGGTAATATTTCTGAAAGGGGTGGGGTTAGAAAAAAAACGATCACCTCTTTTCAGCTCTAGGTGTCATATAAAACTTTGAAATCGCTAAAAATAGTGATTTTTTGTGAGTGTGCGATTTGCACTTAAAACGTGATAACCTGTCGTTGGAGCAACCATTGTAGCGATCGAACAACTACACAGTCTGGTTGTCTTATATAGTCGTTGCTAGCCGGAGAGCCGAACTCTAATTGGTTCCCGATCTCTTTATTTCAATACACATGACAGTACCAGTTTTTTGGCTCTTGAGAGTATTTCTGTTCTACACTTCGGAAACCAAAAGATTAAGAAAAAGATGTGCTTTGGGCGGCGATAGAGGGCAGCTGGCGAGAGTATGTGGCAAGGTCAAATAGCTAACCCACAACAAACAAATTAGAAAGCTTACTAGTACGAGAAAGTCTGTGTCATTCTTTGGCATCACTAGTTTCCTTAATAAAAGGCACTGTGAACCGAAAACGAGTTCAAACAATATTTAATTTTAAAGTTATTAGGAACTGTCTGGAGACATCGTTTTCTACCCCGACATGACTTCAGCACGGCTAGGGTGTGGACTTGTTCATAGCCCTGCCCAGCACGTTTTGCCGCAGGGTGCGAATTAATGTCACCGAAGATTGCCCTGCTGGAAAAATGAGATTTGTTCATGCCAATGACACAATAATCAACAAGTAAAATCTTTCCACTTTGTAAGGAATTAAATGCGAAATCTCTTGCAAGACCATTGTCGGATTCTTTCTGGCTGTGTTGTGTAAGGCAATGCAAAAGGTCTTGGTTCGCCCTCCGCTGCCACGAGGAGCGCCAAG